TGGACCCATACAGTCACAGAGACAACAGAGAGGATGAGGAGAAATAAGTTAAATGAGCCTAATCAACAAAATGAGCCCTTTTCTTCCCCTCTCCTCCCCTGCTGCTATTTTTGTGTTGCTATTCCTGAATCCTGATGTAAATGAAATGAGCAGAGAAAGGGTTTGAAGAATGGCAGGTTTAATCTTGAGTAGCTCAGGGCCCGTCCAAACTGTGAAATTTGGTGTGATGTACAGTGCAATCTCTCTTAAGAAAACCTTCCGTTCACACTGGAGATATTGCTGTGGGACCGCTTCTCCTGCACAATTAGTTTGTAGCAATCCAATTTGTCCCCACTTCAATTACTGTGACATTCCTCTTCCCACCCCTTCAGTTACTGACACTCTCCTTCCTGCCCCTTTCCCCACTTATTGTTGCTTCAGCAGTTTAGTGTGCCATAATGAATTTTTGTTGTTGTTGTTAAAAAGTTCGAGGCATAGTTCTACACCACTATCTGCCAGTCGTGGTAGGCATTCTTTTATATTTCAGGCTGTTGCTTACAAATTTCCATGCATTACTTTGCAGATGAGTAATTTCCTGGAGGTGTGTCTGCTTTCACCTTGCTCATTTAACAGGCTCACTGCAGTGCACTGTTACGTCTTGCACCATCCAACTGATTTAGCATTGCAGTATGGTTTCAAATGCTTTTATGTCCACAGACTACAACAGAGAGTTGAGGTATCTCTTGGCTCTCAGCTTTGCAGTGGTTCAAAAATATGGATCTCAGGCAGGGATCCTCAATATTTCATATGATTTTTAGATGGAATCCTCCATAAGCCACTGTCAGATCATAGATCCATCTGTGTCCACAGACTACACCACAGAAATCATGGGTCCTTTTGCACATGGCTTTGCAGTGGCACAAAAACATGGATCCCAAGCCTGGATCCTCATGGATCCACATTATTTTTACATGAGATCCTCCTCAAACCACTGTCAAATCATAGGTCCCATCTGTGCCCACATATTACAATACAGAAATCAGGGGTCCTTAAATGCATGGTTTTGCAGTGGCCCAAAATCATGCACCCAAGGCATGAATCCTCAAAAACAGAAATCCTCATTTGACTTGAAAGTTACAGTAAAAGGGGGGCTTTCCCACTTCCATTTTAATGCCAAAACCCACTTATTGCAGCATAGGGTTGTCATCACAGTGGATGGCAGCCCCAGTTACATTTTGGTGAAAGGTACCTATCTGTGCAAGCTAAATAGAGTACTATTTTGGGTCACGCTGAATCATGTCAAAAAGAATAAATGCCCCAACAATGTGCCAGAAAGATTCACATCCCATCTGTGCCCACATATTACAATACAGGGCGTGGTCTGCAGGGGATGGATCATTCTACGTAGAAACACATATGGATGAGATTCCAAGGCATGAATCCTCAAAAACAGAAATCCTCATTTGACTTGAAAGTTACAGTAAAAGGGGGGCTTTCCCACTTCCATTTTAATGCCAAAACCCACTTATTGCAGCATAGGGTTGTCATCACAGTGGATGGCAGCCCCAGTTACATTTTGGTGAAAGGTACCTATCTGTGCAAGCTAAATAGAGTACTATTTTGGGTCACGCTGAATCATGTCAAAAAGAATAAATGCCCCAACAATGTGCCAGAAAGATTCACAACAGCTCTTAAAGGAGAAGGATGGATCATTCTACATAGAAACACATATGGATGAGATTCTTTTTTTCTGATCCAAACTGTGCTACCAGCAATCCGTATACAGAGCTATATGCCAGTGTGGACAGTCAGACCTTTTCCCCAAAAGATGTTCATGTTTGTCTTCTCAAAGGCTTTCATGGTCAGGATCCAATGGTTGTTGTGGGTTTTTCGGGCTCTTTGGCTGTGTTCTGGAGGTTATTCTTCCTAACGTTTTGCCAGTTTCTGTGGCCGGCATTTTCAGAGGACAGGAGCTAGAATTCTGTCTGTGTTCTGGTGTAGTGTGATGGATTGACACCCATCAATCACAGTGACAGATCATCTCCCTCCCTTACCACAGCAAAACACCCATAACAAAAAATACCCTGATCACAGGAAACATCCAATCTTCTGAAAAGAACAAACACACACACACACACACACACGCACGCACGCACGCACACACGCACGCGCGCGCGCACGACAGAAAAACACACACAAACTCACAAACAAACAAACCTTTATCCCACAGCTACAAATACTCAACAACCCCACACACTACACCAAGACAGACAGAATTCTAGCTCCTGTCCTATAAAGATGCCGGCCAGAGACTGACAAAACGTTAGGAAGAAAAACCTCCAGAACAGCTCAAAAAACCCACAAAACCATGCTCATGTTTTCTTTTATTTGTTTGTTTATTTTGATTTGTTCTCATGAACTCTTCAGAAAGAAGCCTCAGAGATTTCACCTACCTCTAATAAGAACATCTGGAAGCCATATTGAAGCATGTCATATTTAATATTTTTACATAGTCATGTATGCATTTGAATTTATTGATTAGAAAATTTGGTTCTTAGTTAAGACTTGCAAAGCTTGTGCTGTGACATCTAACACTCGTTTGCAGCTACCAAACCTAACAGAACCTTGACTGAGGATGTCCTGAGATTTTGCTATCTGAGGCTGAACACCAAAAAACATTATCTCCATCATTCCAGCCTTGAATTGGCGGTGGGATCAACAACTGGAAATTAGTTGTTAGACGTTGTGATTAGGCAATTATTAATCAGGTGATAATGAGACTGATTTGTGAGACATTCAATCCATACTTCGTGTCCTCCACTTGCTGAAAGCTTATTAGATTTATAAGCTTGAATTTTGCTATGAGAAGCTAATGATCAGAGCAACAATCACCTCCAGGTCTTGTTTTTGCTGACTGTATAGAGCTTCTCCATCTTTGGCTGCAGAGAATATAATCAATCTGATTTTGGTATTGCCCATATGGTGATTTCCATATGTAGAGTCACCTCTTGTGTTGTTGGAAAAGAGTGTTTCTGATGACCAGCTTGTTCTCTTGACAAAACCCTATTAGCCTTTACCCTGCTTCATTTTGAACTGTCTGAAGCCCAACATAAAAAAAACCCCCTAAGATCATGGCCACTGGTCCTATCACCTCCTGGCAAATAGATGGGGAAGATATGGAGGCTGGGAGGAAAGCGATGACATCATCTTGCCGACAAAGGTCGGCATAGTCAAAGCTACGGTTTTTCAAGTAGCGATGTATGGAAGTGAGAGCTGGACCATAAAGAAGGCTGACCTCTGAAGAATTGATGCTTTTGAATTGTGGTGCTGGAGGAGGCTCTTGAGAGTCCCCTGGACTGCAAGGTGAACAAACCTATCCATTCTGAAGGAAATCAACCCTGAATGCTCACTGGAAAGACAGATCCTGAAGCTGAGACTTCAGTGCTTTGGCCATCTCTTGAGGAAAGAAGACTCCCTGGAAAAGACCCTGATGTTGGGAAAGTGTGAAAGAAAGAGGAGAAGGGGACGACAGAGGACGAGATGGCTGGACAGTGTCATCGAAGTGACCAACATGAATCTGACTAGAGTAGTGACTAGAGTAATGGATTGTTGTGAGTTGGGTCATCTGGGTTCTAGTCCCCATACAGCTATGAAACTCACTGAGGGACCTTGGTTCAATCACTGTCTTTCAGCCTGACCAGCTGTAGATGGTTGTTGTGAGCATGAAATGGGGAGTGGGGAGCCAGATATGTCACCTTGACTTCACTGAAGAAAAGGCAGGATATAAATGCAACTAATAAATAGATTGATACATTATGTATCCACATTCCCTTCTGCAATATAGGGAACTTGATACTGATCTACCCTCTATAAAGGTAAAGGTAAAGGTTCCCCTTGACAATTTTTAGTCCAGTCATGTTCGACTCTGGGGGGGCAGTGCTCATCCCCGTTTTCAAGCCATAGAGCCAGCGTTTTTGTCCGAAGACAATCTTCCGTGGTCACATGGCCAGTGTGATTTAGAAGCGCTGTTTTTCCCACCGAGGTGGTCCCTATTTATCAACTTGCATTTGCATGCTTTCTAACCGCTAGGTTGGCGGGAGCTGGGACAAGCGACGGGCGCTCACTCCATCGCGTGGATTCGATCTTACGACTGCTTGGTCTTCTGACCCTGCAGCACAGGCTTCTGCGGTTTAGCCCACAGCGGAACCACGTCCCTCATCGACCCTCTATATCAGGCATTAAAAAGATTACAAAACTAAGTGAAACGGAACACTGAGGTTCAAAGTAGGTGTTGCAAGCATCTGCTGATGTCCACTTTAAAACAGGAAAAGCCACTTGCCATGGAGGCAATAAGATGTGAAGCAGCAAAAGGAGGAGAGTGTTATGTGTATTTTGCATGCAACATTTAGAAAGTGCTGTACAGAAACTAATTATTTGTGTTTTCTTCGAAGTCAGGGATGTGACACCTGCAGTTTTTAAGATATTTTAGACTGCAGTCACTACCCTGAAGCTCCTGCCATCTCACCCCATGATGAGACATTATGGAAGTTGCTGTTGAAAAGAACTGGAGGCCCAGAGTTCTCTACCTCTGGTTTAAGTGGGGATCATTTCCTATATCACTGAGAAAATCCTCATCAACATGGTATCCCATGCTATGTGAGTGTATATATATATTAGATTTGGCCATCAACCAATGCACACAGTAGACGTAACCAAGAAGAACCCAATTTCAATACTTTAATAAAAACTAGAATGGATGAAAAAAATTGGATGGATACATGGTAAGCCTATCGCTATTAAATAACTATAGTACATGCATCATACAATTTTTAATAGAAGAGTTGATCAGATACTCACTCTGTGTACATTTGCCTATAATGATACAATAGCCAAGTAGAACACCTATATCACTGAGAAAATCCTCATCAACATGGTATCCCATGCTATGTGAGTGTATATATATATTAGATTTGGCCATCAACCAATGCACACAGTAGACGTAACCAAGAAGAACCCAATTTCAATACTTTAATAAAAACTAGAATGGATGAAAAAAATTGGATGGATACATGGTAAGCCTATCGCTATTAAATAACTATAGTACATGCATCATACAATTTTTAACAGAAAAGTTGATCAGATACTCACTCTGTGTAGAATAGCCAAGTAGAACGTATTTCATTGTTTTAGGTAACACCTGGACAGATTGTAGGAAGTATCTCATATATGAAAACACCTCTTTCTAAGCAGAACCCGTAACAGTGCTTTTTAGAGATGGGCACAAATCACATGTGGGCTCATCTCCCAACGATACCTTGGCCAGCTGGCTCACTCACTGTTCTTCACACACAACTGGGGACCTCCTCCTCTGGCAGTGTGTCAGTTTGGGCAAGAGCTCAGGCTGCCCTTCTCTGCCTCCCCAGGCAGCCAACCACTCATCGGTTGTGCAGGGAGAATCCCTGCCCCACCTTCTCATCACAGTGGTTGGCTGCCTGCATTTAAGGCAGGATTTTAAAATCTAGATAATTGATCTACCAAAATTTGAAGCCATAGCAGATAGTCTGGGTAGAGAGCTTGCAAAAATGTCATGACAAAACAGTAAGATTGTAGTTCTCAGGATTGCTGTGATTGTGAATGGGGTAGCAGCCATAGCTTCTCTCTTGGACTGGTAACTAAGCTGTTAATTTGACAGCAGAAGACTCATGGGGATTGTATGGAGGAGGACGGCTGCTTTCAGGAAAATTCGTACCCACGTCAAGGACAGTGTATGGCACATGGTGTACAGTCTGGAATATGAAAAATAAATACGTAAAAAGCATTTAACATAAGAAATACATCTCACTGTCACAACTGCCACTGTTACCATTAGAATGTCATTAATAGATGCCACCATCATCAACATTATAACAAATGCCCCCAAATCCTTGAATATAGCAAAATTCTTCTAATGTGATTCCTACCAATTTTGCAAGGAATAGGATTTGCTGATCCATTTACTATCACAAGTGTTTTCTTTTCTTTGAGGCTTAAAAGTCAGGGAAGTTAGAAAAACATGAAAATATGTTTATTCCTACAGTTTTTATTAGCTTAATTAAACCTTTTTGGATTAAAAAAAGACCTTCCATTTGTTAGCTAGTTTTGCTAGGAAACTGATGTGTGGTTTCATCAGCATCTAGTGTCTCATACAAGGGACTGTGGCTCTGTAGAAGCTACTGAGCAAAGGAAGGTGAGCTACAGGGCACTGGGAAAGCATATGCTTGTATGCCAATGGTCCAAAATTCAGTCCATTTTGAAGGAGTAGAGACAGCACAGGTGGGAAATGCTTTAAAGAGCTGGTCCATGTATAGACCTGGGCAACAATGAGCTGGCTAACGCAACTGCTGACCTAATCTGAGACAATTCCCTATCTTCTACAAGGCAATCAATCACTCTGTAATCCAAATGTACAATGAAGCATTGTTGATGGAGATCAGTTAGTGGCAGTGTAAAGCAGGAACGCGTTGTGGGCCTTAGGCTAGTGAAATAATCTGGGACACATAGGGCACATCACACCATACTAAAAAAGGAGAATATAAATCTGTCCTACAAACTCTGTTAGTAAGGGGCCTTTATGTCATGTCCTCAGCATCACAAACAAGTCCAGATTTTTTTTCCCAGTGCAGACATTTGCTCCCTATCAGAAAACTACTAAAACTAAGTTACATGTTTTGTAAATAGAGCAAAAACAGAGTTGAATGACTTTAGCCTTTTCCCCTTGGGTTTTTCAAAATGGTATGCTTTAAACCAGAAAAAGATATTCACATATTTACCCTCTCATTGTTACAGCACGTTGCTTGACATCCAAAATGTGCAGCCGAAACTGTGATGCAGAACTCCAGCAGGGTGAACAAGAAGAGCAGGACATGGAGTCCGGTAACTGCGTACTGCAAAGCAGAGAAGCAATTTGTTCCCTACCAATTAGTTCAGCTGCAACATTTGGTCACATTCTGGCCATAACTGTTTGGAGTGGGAAGGGGATAACTGGAGACAGAAGTGACCATTTTAAATGCATTAATCAAGGAATCTAAGAATGAAATATCATTTGGGCCATTGGATCTGTTTGCATTAGGGGAGGCATTAACATTGCAGACTTAACCATGGTTATTAGCAGACATTTCACCCAGATTCCTGAGCTTGCAAAAATTCCAGATGTCTAAAGCAACAAACTAAAAGGTAAAGAAGGGGTGTGCATAGGTACCATTTCGACTCAGCTTAAAATTTCTGCTGAATGCTTCCCACTGCCTATTATAAAAGATTCCTTGAAACTAAACAAGCAGCAGGTCATCATTTGGGCCGTGGGACCTTCTCAGTGAAAAGAGCAATATTCAAACCATGTGTGTGCGCTTCTTTTTCATTTACACTTGTTTCCGTACTGGATCTTGTAAAAAAAAAAAAAGAATGTTTTGCTTTGAATTTGTTCACTTACATGCATCCAGATCTGCCAAAGGACAAACTCTACCATATAGAGAGAGATGCCAAAAAGTGTAATTATAGCGCTTGTGATGTTCAGTCCCACACTGCATTTCACCTGTAAAAAAGACACAAAGAATCAGGAAACTGTCAGGACCTTCATCAGTCATCAACCTGTTCCATGGTTGTTAACCTGATCTACTGTGGGTGATACAATAGTGTAGCACAGATCAAGCCAAAAGAACCGTCCATCTGGGGGAGACTGCAAGTGTGCCATTCAGAGAACAATGTATTTTCTGGGCCCATCTGTAGATCCCAAGCACAGAGATCTATGTGGTGAGAAGACAGAGTGACATTTTATCTTGAAGAATGCCAGCTATACATACTAATTTGACTTTTGATAACAAGAGTACTGGACTGCTAATACAGACCTGAATATGCACAGCAACATTTTGGCATCTGCATCATTATAGAAGAGGGGCAAAATTATATATCTCACCTGAGAAATGCTTAGATGTCTCATTGCATCAACAGAAAAAGATCCTGAAATAATGAACTGTCCAAAAAGAGGAAAAAATTAGTTTGACAAGATTTACTTCAGATTTACAGAAAATTTGTGTTCTTCGAAATTGAATATTATGAGAGTCATGTCACATCATATAAAATGTTTGTCCCTTTAAACAAATTATTGTCACTTATTAAAGAAACATCAGCTTTCTAACTGTTAAGGTCTATAACCTTCAGTCAAAGTGTACTCAGAAGTGACAGAGATATTACACTTAAGTATTAATGAACATAGGAGGTGACTGTGAAACTCAACTTATACTAAATATGCTTGTCTTTATGTGGACTTCCTCAGGTTTCCTAGACCACCCATTCTCAACTTTTTTGGGGGCCACAGCCATAAGCACAATATGAAAGAAATATAGACTCGGGATTGTATAAGTCCTATAATGGACCTATCTGTGGCACCCTTCAAATTTGCCAAGGCCATGGGGGGCACATAGCCCCTGTTGAGAATGTTTGGTCTACCATCATGCCCAGCTTAGTGTCACCAGAATGCCATACACAGTCATAGCCTCTTTTGGAGAACAAAACAACTGATCACATGGGGAAAAGTCTGTTCAAATCATCTGGCTTGAAAAAAAAAATGGAAGCCTCCAGAGGCAAAGAAAAGACCTCCATATTGGGAGCAAAAAGGGCCGGACTGATTCAAATTGGCCTTTGTGTCATGCGATCAGTTGAGAATGGCTGCCCTGGACTGTCCTTTATCTGCTCTCAGCTGATGTTCTAACTGTAGATTCCTGACATGATTTCCTTTTCTTCTCACACTTTTTAATGACCCTCTCAGTAAAGGACAGATGGATAGCTAAAGCTTTTCTGTCTCACTGTACGTATTTCTCCAATAAATGCTAGCTTTCTTATCTTCTTAGAATAAGAAGTGTGGTTTGATTTCTTTCTAAAGGGGAAGTATGTTCTGCTTACATCTCTTTTTTACCATGTGAATCCACATACAGTCACAGAATGGTGAAGTTGGAAGGGGCCTGTAAGGCCATCGAGTCCAACCCTCGGCTTGATGCAGGAATACAAATCAAAGGATATCTTCCAGGTGGTTGTCTAAGTTTCTCTTGAATGCCTCCATTACTGGAGCACTCACCACCTCTCAAGGTCATTGGTTCCTCACTGCACTTGGTGGGAGCAATGTGTCATCCTTCACCCACCCAGTCCTTTCTGTGCCCAGAACCTCTGTTCGAGAGGGTCCCATGTTCTCCCAAGCTGATTTGGAGACCATGTGGGAAAACTGCAGTAAGAGATGGGGCCTCCTCTGTCTCTTCTGATGGAAGTTGTTCCACCAGTGGAGCAACTTAATCGGATTTTGCCCTTTAGTTGTTATTGATTAATACCATTTACGAGCTGCCCACTAGCCAAAAATCTTACTGTAACATATATGGAAAATGAAACATAATAAAATCCATAATATCCAATTACACACAATCAAAGTTCAAAGCAGCAACAAAAAGGCAATTTACTAATTGGAAAACAAACCATCAGAATCAACATTTATCAAAAATGCACAGCAGTGATGAAAGCATTTTTAAATGAAGTTTTAGAATACAACTTGAAGGTGAAACATATGGCAAGTTAAAAAAACTTCTGAAAATCACAAGCTCATTCCCTGGCCACAAGAAATTAAAAGGTAAGTGGCAAGTGGACTTCTCAAATATCTGTAAATATTAAACCATGCACATGGAAGCAAAGTTATCACTGCTATTAAGAAGATTGTCTTTGTCAGGGGGAAAAAGCATGCCATTATTTGAGAAGAAAGCCCTTGGGGAACGTCATAGTTAGTATGGCCACATTATTATTTCACAGAGACTTCATTGGGATTCTTCATGCATAGCAAAATGCGCCTTGAAAAGAAGGGAAGTGTATATAAAAAGATTAAATATTGTAAGACCTCATAATAAATAATCTGTGCACATGCTTGAATCCTGTGATAATTTGCATGTAGAGATACATGTACAGCCTTTGAAAGATCCCAGCAAATGGCAGTCAGGGGTGTGTTTGGTATACAAAAACTGTAGGACAAATATTGATCTTATCTACAAATGTGGAATTTTCATTTCCCCATAAAATTGAAAAGCAGCCAGCTCTCACTCCCATATGATCCCTTCCTCTGGATCCCCAGCAGTGGGGCTAGAATGCCTCGTGTCAAGGATATAGAGCATGTTTGGTATCTTCTAAAAGAGTGGTTCCCAACCTTGGGTACCCCAGATGTTATTTGGACTGCAACTCCCAGAAACCCCAGCCAGCACAGCTGGTGGTGAAGGCTTCTGGGAGTTGCAGTCCAAGAATACCTTGGTTACCAAATGTTGGGAACCACTGTTCTAGAACATTTTCCTCAATCAACACTTTTTAATATCTTCACAGGAATTTACTTGTACAGAAGAAAATGGAGGCTTGTTTTTGAGGACAACACTAGTGGAGGGCTGTTGACCCCACTGAACATGAGGCCACCACTTGTCTGCATAGTCCTGCCCCAAGTCCTGTTTCGTGGCCACACTACATGTAACAAAAGGATGTAAGAAGGGAACAGAGTGGTGGGAAGTGCCCAGACCTTTAAGGCTCAAGGGAAATAATGCCTACTTCCTTCTTCTTAATACCTTGGTGTATTCTGTTTTACATAAGTAAAATGTAGAGTGACACAAATAATGCTTGGCTTACAAAATACAACATTTCTGCACAGAGAAATTCAACCACTGAAGAATAATTTCAAGGCAGATGATCTTTCCAAAGTTAAAAGGTAAAACCATAGATAATGACCAATGTCGGCTTTCAAAGGTAAATAACAGATTATAGTACTTACAGACAGCCCAGCCCAGAGGGGATAACCTCCAATAGTAGCAAGGCTAATGTATTCAGAACCAACAAAGATGAAGGAGAGACTCCCGAAACCAATATGGATCAATCCAATCATGATCTGGACAGCCTGTGGGTGAAATTACATTAAACAGTTTCCCCATCCTTCTGATGCAAGCCATAAGTAAATACTGAGAAATGATTTGAACCTAGCTATCCATCAAGAAGCAGCATAGATGGGCACCAACACTGTAAGACAGATTCTGCCATAGCCCTCATTTCCCGCCGCCTGGTAACTCATGGCGGATCAAAAACAAAGCAGAGGGAACTGGTACATCCACTGGTAGCAAAAGTACAAATGGGAGATGGAGTCTCAAGATGTCTAAAAATATTGACTACGTACACTTTATTCTTATCTAAAAAGCTCGGGCTCGACACATTTTGGTGGTGGCCTTCTTCAGCTTTTTAGAACATTAACATCGAAAAGCTCAGGCTTGACACATTTTGGTGGTGGCCTTCTTCAGGATCAAGCTTTTTAGAACATTAACATCACCAACACAGATTCAAAGTGGATCAAAAACAACAACTGTGTCAATTGCTTGATCCCTTTGGTGGGACATGTTTGGCTCTGTTTTGAGGGAGCATTTGCAGATTTCAGTAGTGACTAGGATGCTTTGGACAATGACCTGTCAGGGCCATAACTCATGGGGAAGAGATCAATATTTACCAATGAGCCATATTGCCAGCAGTCAGCCTTTGAGGCCAATGCATCTTTAGTAGATCCACTTCAAGTCAGAGAATAAAAGGTATAGGGATGATATTTTTGTCTCTTTTTAAGTACTAGGGATGTAAAAACCCTATCAATCTCTGTTTTGTTGTGTTTCTCCAAACCCTCAATTTGTTTCCATTCCCTTCTTTCTTTTTCTTTATTCAGGAGGACTTTATTTTTTCCTTCCACATGGAAATTTGTACCCATTTTCTCTACCCATTTCCCCTCCTTTACCTAATTTTTGTATGCATTTCCCCAATGTATGTGATTTCCCCCACTGACTAAACTGTGTTTATTTTTCAAATGAATGTGTTTTGAGGCACATTTTTTAATAGTATGCATGACTCAGTGTGTGTTTTATTTCTCCAAGACACATTGCAAGCAGCTCAAATGAGCAGGTTTCCAAAATCCATGACCCTTCCTCTTCCAAGGAGTCTCTGGAGAAGCAAAACGGATGTTCTCATCACAGTCTTTCCCATCAGGTAACACTGAAACCACTATGGGCCTGAACGTGAGAAGGTATCAACAGCACTTACCCCCAGAGTCTTGATGTCCGCCTTGAGAAGTTTCTCCATTGGCCCCATGTGTGGCTGCTGGTGAAGCTGGTTGGCGGCACTTCTAAACTCCTGGCCTCCATATGATACATACTGCACAGTCTCTGCTGGCTGCATAACAGTTCCTGGAAAAGCCTGCCCTCCCTGGATGACACTGGGGCCATTGGAGGGAACTAACAGCATTTGTCCATTAGATAAATTCAGTGGTTGTGTTGCCATCGCTAAAGTCTCTGAAAAGGACAACCCATACAAACAAATGAATGAACCATCCTCCTGTTAATTCATTAGAAGAACACGAGAGAGAAATGAAATAAACTAGGTCTGAAAAGAACTGAGGGAAAGCCATCTGCTTATGTTAAGAAGCAGCCTGTGTTCCCTTTGAGCCATTCCTAGCTGAGCCTGGATCAGATAAAGCTGTCCTCTGAAATCTACTTAGAGGTACTTACATTACATTCCTTAATGTGAACCGTCTCAGACTGACAGTGGATGAACGTGTAGTAAGAAATGAAAGGACAGCTTGTCGTTAGAGGAAAGAGGAAGTGGGAGGATTTTAGTTCTGATTTTGAACATGAGCTACAGCCTCTCTGGATATGGCCACACTCAGTATTTCCAGTCCATGAATTAATCAAGACCAGCCCCACAACTTCCAAAATTAGGTAAGATCAGGAGCCGTTAGAATGGCAAAGCAGGATGAAGATGAAGAGTAAAAATTTGAAGGTTAAGCAAACAGATGATGCTTGGACTAGATCTTGCATGTAGTAATACTGTGTTTCTTATTGGGGCGAGAGAAAGAGAGAAGGGGGAGAGAGACTGTACTAAATGTCTGTACACATTCTGCCACTGATACATACTCTGCTGTGACAAATCAGATGCTTTCAGCAGCTAAGGTGTTTCCTTTTCCAATGATGGGTTATCTGTGACACAATACAGCTTTCAGTCCTTTTGCTAGCCCTGAATTTACGTTTGGTCCTTTTTTCTATGCAGGCTTGCTGTCTCCAAACCTTTTAAGTCAGACATCACTTCATTGTATTTTTCTCTGATGTTGCTTCCTGTCATGTTAGGAAACATGGTTCTAGAAATTACAACAGTTGCAAAATGACTCCACCTTCCCCTCTTTTCACAATAGCGAACATGAAGGAATTAAGAAATTTAAAAACTAAGTGTTATTTCCCCTTGTGTTTTCTGACGCCTTTCTGAAATCTTTTTAACGTTCCAGAATAACACAACTTCAGCAACCATTCTGAGGGCCATTCTTGCAAATGAAGCCTGTGTCTGTCTTCCACCAAACAAAAGTAAGGGTGTTGTCTAGAAAAAGAAATCCCCCCCTTGAATGAGGATAAATAAGGCTCAAAAGAGTTGCTTGGAAGTGAAAAACAAACAAACAAACAAAACAAAAAAAATCACAGTATCTTTGCTGTTGTTCTACAAAAGTCCAATTCAACACTCAAAAAGGCCAGGGTGATTCCAAATTAGCTTTATGTCTTGTTGTTTGGTAAAAATAGATTGTACTTCATTGTGCAATTAGTGGACCAAAACAAGGGATAAATCATGGTATAGATACCCTCTACATTAATTTGCAACACAGGGAATGTGACAAGCTCATGCTAGGAAAAACAAAAGTATCTTTGCCTCCTAAGGGAGTTCTGCTTCTAACTGCAAGCCAACCGTAGGTTAAGATCTGCCCTAAGTGTAGTAAGAGGGTTAGTAGTTTATTAGTCTGCCATTTTTGTACCCAAATGTGTAAATTATTGTGTTTAGATCAGGACTCTTAGGGGCTTAATCCACCTTAGGCAAGCTAGGAAAGAAGAAACACTCGTCCTTCAGGTACTGCTGAGGGAGGGACGGATATAACCCACCACACTTCTCAATAAGATTTTGTTAAACACTAAGCATGGTACCAGATGCTTACCTGGGCATCATGACAGAATGTCACTTGTCACCCAAAATGTGCCATAGAAGCAGTGATGCAGAACTCCAAAATATTGAACAAGAGTAACAGAACAGATAAACCAGCACCTGCAGACTGCACACAGAAAGACATTTTGTGTTCACAAAGGCTTTCACAGCCAGAATCTAATGGTTGTTGTGGGTTTTTTGGGCTCTTGTGCTACTCCTGTCCTCTGAAGATGCCAGCTCAGAGACTGGCAAAACGTTAGGAAGAACAACCTTCAGAACAAGAGCCCGAAAAACCCACGACAACCAGAAAGACATTTATTATATACCTCTCAGTATTGGTAAATGACCATCCATTTTCCACATGCAGCTGCCTTAATGACAGTAAAAATTTGTAATTTTAGAGAGTGCTGTGGGAAGATTTTTATACATCACTTCAACCTTCCCTGTTCACCCTAAACTATACCGGGGTTGGCTAAATTTCAAAAACTTTTAGCATATGAATGTGACTTGATTGTGCATCAAATGACAATCTCCACAGAGCTGATGTTGCCATACTAACACTTAAGCAGAGGCACACGACTTTCCGCCTGTATGCTACTGGCACCTCCCTTTAGGGCCATTTATGTGGTCCCACAGTATCCATGGGTCTTCCTTTTTACATCCTGGAAAAAAGGGGAAAATGCTCAAAAAGCTGTGCGGTGCCCTATTGGGGGTTATAATGAGGCAATTTTACCATATTTCAAGGGATCCAGCACCCTCTGAGTCCTCATGATCAGAGATGGGCACAAACCAAAAAACAAACCAGGAGAATCGTTGGTTTGTTGGTTCGTGTTGGTTTGGGTTCATCCTAGCTGGAGAACTTGAACTTTCCCACACCAACAAACTATTTTGAGCTGTAATAAACTTCCCTTTTCTTCTTCCAGGCTTTTTTTTTTTTGAAGGCAGCCTGGTGGCCCCCCCCCCCCCCGCTGCCTCTGTGCATGAGCTTGCCTCTCAGCTGTTATGAGACAAAGGAACAGTCTAATGAATGGAGGCACAGTGGTTCCCTCAGGCCAAAGAAGTTCCGAGTGCAAAGGTCGGTGCAGAAGCAAATGGCAACAGGTTTTTAGGATAAGAAGGGAGTTCTGCTGGTGGACTACCTCCTGTTGGAGGTAGGGTTCAACCATCAGTGCAAAAGATTACTGTGCTATATTGATGAAGTTGAGGCAAAACATCAAGGAAAAACATTGAGGAAAGCTCTCCAAAGGTGTTCTCCTGTTGCATGACAACTCCTCATCACACACTGCAGGTGAAACAATGGCAAAACCCTGTTCTCCCAACCTGGCTCTTTCTGACTATCATCTGTTGCTCAAAAGCAAAGAACACCTAAAGGGACAACGATTTGGGAGCATTCTGGAGGCAACTAATGCTGCAAATGACTGGTTAGACCAGCAGTTGGAAGAATTTTATTTGCAGCGACTTAAGAAGCTGCAGGACAGATGTCACAAGTGTGTTGACTCCTGGGGGAATATGCAGAATAGTGTGGCAGTTACAGCTTCCTAGCTCATTTTTTTCTGGGTAAGGCTCAGTACTTGTCAGCACCCCCTTGTAGTCAATGGAATACCATCTGACCACCCCAGTCCCAGAGCACGGCCATATTATATATCAATGCAGTCTCCCTCTTATACACACTTAAATCACGAGGAGAATTCTGACCTCTATCTTGCTTTGAAACCATTGCAGTTTTAGTCCTTGTAAAAGATGAATAGAGCATTGTAGAAATATTAGCATAGTAACCAAATTGAGACGGTGAAGAGGAATAGAAGCTGTCTCCCACCTAGTCTTTTGTGACTGGATAGCTCAGTGGTTGAGGTCTCTGGTTGTGGAGCCAGTGGTTGGAAGTTCAGTTTCCTACACTGTCTCCTGCAAGTAGAGGCAGCCTGTCCCAGAAGAAGGGAACTACTACTTGGAAAAGCCAGAAAAGTGTTGCCATAAGTCAGAATTTACTTGAAGGCACATGATGGCGATGATGATGATGTAACACATGCAACACCCCTGACCTGCACTCCATTAGTGGTATTTTTTACTTGATGGGCCTTTCTGAAATACAACATCTTTCTATGTCACCAAGGTCACATCAGAGGCCTTACCACACATCAGAACACCATGTGGTATTGCTTCTTTGCTCATCACCAGGGCCCTCCTTCCCAGAAACTGCAGAAGTCCTGGTATGAAATGGAAACACATTGTAGTTCTCTCACAGATAATGTGAAGCTTCTGTACCTTCCTGGTGCAATTGTGTAGCCCCCCCCCTCCATGCAAGAAATCTCAAAAGGGCCCCTGTGTTGTGAAAGAGGTAAGGAGCAGGAGAATCAACATTTTCTATTCCTCAAATAAATTCTTAATTATAAGACAGAGTTGGTGTGCTCAAGATTTGTTAAGAAAAGAGGATGGGATTATATATTCTTCCCTGCTTTAGAACTCCGACTTGGGCCAAGTGAATTTCTGGAACAGGACTGGAAATAGCTCTGATGGATACTGAGAAGGATGCTTATTTATTGACATCTCCAACACTGTAGAGGATAATTACCAATCCAGGAGTTAGATATTTCTCAGCTGACACTGACAGAGATCCAGAAATAATGAACTCCCCCAAAAAGATGAATTAAACTACAGTTGACTTAGTATTTACAGCAAAACAAAACAAAAACTTTGCGCTTAGGAAAATTGGTATTATGGAAGACAAGTGTCTCTTTTAAAGACCAAATAGGTCATCCTTAAAGAATGAGAAGCATTATTTATGTCAACCATGTTCTCATCACCTCAAAAAAGCAAACTGCCACCGATGTCAGTTGGTGCTGGTTCTTTGAGCTGCCAAAGTACAGCAAATAAAAAACTATGGAATGGAGAACTCCAGAATAGCCAAATTGAAACTGTGCCTATTCAGTGGGCACAGAAGGGAACATATCATAGAAAGTGGCCCTTAATGTATTTGTCTTCCATTTTCATTTCTAGAAGACTCCAAAGACGAAAAGCAGTACCTATCACATATCGTGGAGAAAGCAGAGGGTGAGAAGGGAGATAGTCAGAAGAACCTCTTATTAAGGTTCGGTCAGATGGACATTTGCCCTGTTTGGTGCATGGCAGGGGCAGATTGGTTCACTCTTTTCCTGGGCAATCAATTCATGATTGCCTGAGCAGACCAATTCATCCCCAGAGTGGCCCTACCCACGTCTACTTTTTTGATATGGGTAGGTGTGCTCTAGTTTGGTCTGTTAATCCATCCTTTCTCTACATGGGCCATATGGCCCCTCTGGGGGCACTGACATATCTAAAGGGGGGCCACAGATGTATCTGTTCATATTGTATCCTTGTTAGCACCACAGCCAAAGGGTTTCCTTGTTTGATGGGGGCAGGGCTAGAACCTGAGAGGAAGTCATAAAAGAGCTGTGGCCAAAATAAAAGGTTGAGAATGGCTGAGTTAGTCCATTGCTGATGCACTGATTTTTTTTTTTTAACAATTCTTTGCTTTTGTGTGAATCTTGAAGACCCCAAAGAGATTGCAGGCAGTTTCTTGGTTAGCACTACACAGAATGCAAAGAAAATATTTTTTGAAATCATAATCTAAGTGATTCAACACATCAGTGA